TTTTTTTGCTTCTTCCCGAGTTGCCTTTTTACTGCGGAATCCCTCAGACACACACACACACACACACACTTTTTTTTTTTGTTGTTGGTGGTTTTGTTTTGCGTCTTGCTGCGCTTTTGCGCCTCCTCGCCGCGCCACGGAGAGGCGAGCAGCAGGCGGCGCACACGACGCGCAGGTGGCTGCGTGGGAAACGCAAACCCGCCCCCTTTTTTTATTCCACACCCGCCCACACACACATCCTCTAAGCCGCGTGCAGACACAACTAAAGAAATAAACAAAAAAAAAGCGAAAAAAAACCGAAAGAACCGCGAAACAGGCAAAAAAAAGGGGGAATGCAGGACCGACGACAGAAGCGTCTCTATGCGTCTGGGGGGAGAGAGAGGGGATGAGGATGAGGAGGAAGCGAAGAAGTTTGAATCCCAACGCCCCCCCCCCTGCTGCCACCTACCTGTATGGCCGCGCATATCTATACCTACTTTATATAATCTGACTCCTCTTGTAGGAAGCCGGCGTCCGAATTTGATGCAAAAGGCCGCCGCAGATTCCCGTTTCCGCCGCAACGATAATTCATCCGTTGTGTGTGCGTGAGAGCTTATATATTTCCCTATTTTTATTCCGTCCTGCTCTGCTTATTCTCGTGTCGTTCTTCGTGCTCCCCCGCTTATCTCCCCCGCTCACGCGTAATAATACAACTGCCACAATAACAACGCCTTCAACAGCGCGTGCGGGGAATTAGTTGCATTGGCGTGGCAGCAGGAAAAAAATAAATAAACACACCAAAAAGGACACACACACAGACACACACTCGTCTTTGTCTTCGTTTGCTTCGCCTCTGTGCACGGTGCGTCCTTGACCCGGTGAACGAGCGAGCGGGGAGTGGTAGGGCGGCGCTGCGTGGCCCGCAGAGGTCTGCACGAGAGAAATAAGGAGTCACACAAGCAGGACCTCACACGCGCAAGGGAAAGGGGCAGCAGCAAAGACGTGCTCCTTTTTATCGTGGGTGCGAGACACGCGGAGACCGCTTTCTCGTGACCCGTGACCCCGTTGATACGTTTAGCGCGGCAGGATGGCGTCCGCCCAGGACGACGCCGCGCTTGGCGTGACAGAGAGGCATACGGAGCCCAAGCAACGTCGGCGCCCACGGACCTCTGCCTTCAGCAGTGTAGAGCTTCACGAACGCTTTGAGCAACACGTGGCACAGGCGCAAAACCTTTTTCTTCAGAATGACAAGGACGGCGCCGAACGCGAGGCGACCCTGGCCTTGCGCATCCACCCCACGGACCACCTCTTCGCTCTCCTTGCCGTCATTGCCGACTCCAAAGGCCAACGCGATCGCGCCAGTGATTTTCGACTGCTGCAGGCGTTTTTGGCAAAAGACACCGTGCTGTGGGAGGAGCTCTTGCATGAATTCCTGCAGGAGGAGTTGTACTATAAATCTGCCGTGTGCCTACAACGGCTTTCGGCGCTAGAGACGAAGGACAAGACACGCTACCGCACCCTGCAGTTGCAGCTGGCGGATCTTTACATTGGTCTGGGCGAGTTTAAGCGGGCTGCCAATATTTTGGTTCCGCTGTGGAACGGCAGCCGGTGTCGCGACTTTGAGGTGTTTGCGTTGTTGTCCTCCCTCTTCTTCCAGCTGGGCCGGTGGAATTCCCTGCATCGGTTAATCGAATCCAGCCTGAAAAATACCTTTCGAAGCACTGCGGCGGTGGACACGGAGAGGCGGCCGATCGACGCCGCCGCTGCAAACGCGTCTGCAGGCGGCGATGGCGAGGCTCTCGCTCCTGCTCCTGCTCCTGCTCCTCCTGCTTCTCAGGCGAAGCGGAGGACCTCTAAGCGGGTTCGCTTCTTCGGCGACGACGAGAAGGACGAGGGCACGGACGGCGATGCAACCATCCCCGTCGCAGCGACGGCGGAGGAGGTGGCGGGGGCGGCGCAGCGGCAGCCGGGCACAGAGGCGGACTCTGCCCCTCGCGCGGTTGCCGATTCGTCTCCGCCGCCGGGTGAGGAGGATGAGTTTGACTTTTCAAGTCTTGCCGGCGGCGGCGGCGGCCCCAAGACGCTGGAAACGGCGCCGTCAATGGTGGTCAACTCTCTCTATGGAGACACCATCGAGCTCCGCACCCCGACGGCAAAGCGGAATTTTCTCACCCTCGTCAACGTGCACGCGGAGCTGCTCAACGAGGAGGGAAAGTTTCTCGACACCGTGCGCCTTTTAGAGTTCACCGCCGGCTGCCTGCAGGTTCCGTTACTCGAACTGCCGCCGGAGCTGCTTGTGCGCCTTGGAGTTGCCTACGCATTCCTGGGAGGTTTCGAACAGCAGTGTCGGGAAGTTTTTCAGCACCTGGTTTACACCTGCCCCATGGCCGAATACGGCGATGTGTTGTACGATGCTGCCATTGCCTTGCAGCATGTGGGGTTGCACGTGGAGGCGCACATGCTTTTTCAGACCCTGCGCCGCTACCATGAGTTCTGCCTCTCCAGCCTCACCAACGGCGCCACCGCGGGGGATGGTAATGGCAACGGTGCTGAGGACGCAAAGGAGCTGCGGGGTGCTGATGAGGAGGAGGTGGCGGAGGTGAAAACCGTCTTTGCGGCAAGTTTGTTTGCCGAGGGGCAATGTGAGGCTTCGCTGGGGAATTCTGAGGTGGCCTACAACGACTTCTGCCGCGTGTTGGAGGTCGACCCCGCACACCTGCAGGCGCGTCTCGCGCTGGGTCGCATGTACATGTATGAAATGAAAGACACCGACCGGGCCGTGGCGGTTCTCACGCCGCGTGAGGACGAGCAACCGCTGGAGCGCATCCAACTCGCCGCGGAGCTTGTGCGTGTTTTCGCCCGTGCGGAGAAGCACGTTGAGGCAATTGCGCTGGGCGTCTCCATCTTTGAGCTCATCTTCTCCGGCGAGGAGGGCGGCGACGCGGAGTCCGTCGCGCCAGGCTCCTCGCGCCGCAGCGCCGCCGCACTCTCGATGCCGACGCTTTCGCGGGCCAGTTCCGCCATCCTCCCCCCCGCGGCCATCGCCGACATCGTGAACGGGCCACGCCTAGGTAGCGCGGCGTCGTCGGTGGGGCGGCTCTCACACACCCTCGCCACGTCCATCAAGGCGGCCAGCGCCGTCTTCCGCACCAGCTTGGCCCGCCGCGGCTACGCGCCGCTGACAAACTCCGTCTACGGTGCCTCCGCGGCGGCGTCGACGGCGGCCGGCTGGGTGCGGGCCGACGAGGAGGAGCGGCTGAAGGACAGTTCGACCATCTTCCGCTTCAATCGCACGCGGAAGCGGCTGAAGCGGCCTCGCCTGGCGAGCCAAGAGGAGCAGGCCCGCGGCCCGCACACTGGCAGCGACGCCGAGGCGGAGGTGAAGCAGGAGCCCCAGCACGGCGATGGGGATGAGAAGCAAACGTGGCAGGCAAAGAAGCGCCAGCGCGTGGAGGAAGTGACGCACCGCGGCGCCGACTCCTTCTGGAGGGAACAGAAGGAAGAAGGTAAGGCCGGCGAGGAAACGACAAACAATTACAACCAACACGGCGACACCGTGCGCCTCAGCGGAGAGGGTGAGGCGGAGAGGCCGCCTCCTGCAGTCTGTGGGCAGGAGAAGGAAGAAGCGGAGGAGGAACGAGACCTGGCGGAATTGGAGGAGGAGGCGATGCTGCACGGCAACGAGGATGATGACACCGCGACGCAGTATGAACTTCCATCGCTGGAGGAGGTGAGCAGGCAGTTTGACGACCCCGCAATGCAAGAGCTATTTATGAAGGCGTCCAGCAACGAGGTGACGATCGCGCCACGCAATCCATGGGAGCCAAACCTTCCCGCTCCGTCTCCGATGGGTGCTGCTGGCGGCGCTGCTGCCGCTGGTGGTGGTGGTGGTTTGGGTGCCGGCCCATTCGCCGCTTCCGCGCTGCGCGTCACGGTCCGCGACGCCTTGGGTGTGCTTGGGCGGGTCGGCTTCGTGGAGCTTGCTGTCACCGTGATTAACTGCTACAGCGCGATTGGGAAGTTTACCGAGGCGAAGGAGTTTGCGTTTCTTGTGCTGATGCGGTGCCCGCGAACCAGCGTCTTTCGCCACGCCGGGGTTCTCGAGCGACCGTTGCGGCTGGCTGTGCTGAGGGCGGCGCTGGCTTCAAAGGAGAGTGAGGACGCCTACCGCGTGGGCGTTCGCCTGCTGCAGGAGCACTGCAGTGAGGCGGAAAAGGAGCAAGTGGTGGAGCTTCTATTTGGCGTGCTGAATCGCGTGGGGGACGGCAGCGCCGTTCTGCTTCGCCTCGTTGCGGACCGCAATAAGGCTGATCCACAGATGCTCGTTCTACTCGGCAACCGGTACTTTCTTCGCCGTTCCTACGTCCACGCCCTGAACTTGTACCTCGCGGCCGCGCAGAGGCGCCCGAGTGACGTCCTTGTCTGCTTCCTTATTGGGTTGTCCTACCTGCTCATTAGCCACCAGAAAAAGATCCGGGCCCGTGAGGCCTGCGTGGTCGCTGGGTGGCATTACCTGTCGCGCTACCAGGAGCTGGCGCGGGCCGTTGACGCGCGGCGCGCGGGCGAGGCCGTGTACAACTGCGCCAGAGCATTACAGTACCTCGGCCTGCACCACCTGGCGGTGCCGCTGTACGAGCAGGTGGCCTACGAATTCGGCGTCCCTGAGCACTGTACCGTGGCGCTGCAGCGGGCCGCGAGGTTTAACCTGTACTTTACATACCGGTGGCGCACGGGAAACGCGGCACTGGCAATGGCCGCGCTGCACCAACCGCAAGGTGCAAAAATGAACACCTCTCCACTGGACAGCCCTGCACCCGTCTAGCGGTGGTTGTTTCTGTTTCATTTCGTGGCGGGAAAAAAAGGACGCCTTCCTCGCGGTGGTAGCAGCCGCTCTTGTCGTCGCCGCTGTTGCCGCCCCCCGCAAAGAAGGGTTCTAGTTTATTTCTCCAAAGTTGTCTTGTGCCGCGGCTGTCCCTCTTCTTCCTTCCTTTCATTCTCTCTCTATACACATCCACACCCACACTTATAACTGTAGGACTCTCTGTATATCCATTTATCTTTTCCTCCCCCACCTGTTTCTCGGCGGCGCAGCCCCTGAAAGGGGGAGCACTGTGGCGTCTCATGAGGTTCTGCTTCTTCCCTACTTTTTTTTCCTCTATTCTTCCTCTCTTATTGCCTGAATCCACAACGACGCCGGTCTTGCCGGAAGGTGAGCGGAACAGGAAGACATACCTCAGTCTGCAATTTAGTCAGGGGAGGAGGAACTACAAGGCACGCGGGCGCCGCTCCTAAAGTAGTAACGTGTGCCAGCAAACGCGTGGCTGCAGCAGAGGGCGGTAGACAAGGAAGCTGCATTGTAAACACACACGCGCATACAATATAATATAATATATATATATATATATATACTACTATTGTATTGTATTGTATTATATACGCTTGTTGGAGGATATCAACAGCGCGGGGGAGAGAGTCTCTTAGGGGGCAGAGCTAAGTCGTTACCCACCACGGGGCAATGTCCGAGGACTCCTCCCCGGAGATGGGGCCCGGGGCGGGCTCTGGCATGCCGGCGGTCCTTCGGGGCGAGACTGGACCCGGACAGGGGGCCGATTCGTCGAAGATGGGCTCATCTGGGCGGCCACACAGAAACGCCGCGGGTTCCGTCGCCGTTGAGCAGTTCCTGCTCGGCAACAACTTTGGTGACCTCCTTGGCGCCACTGGACCCGGGCTGGCCAACTCGCTCGCGAGCACGATGGCACCGGGGAGCGATAACATTCGTGGACCAGGCAGCAGCACCGCAAACCCGAGTTTTTTTTCAAGAATGGCGGAAGCACCGGAGGGAGACACACTAGAAGGCCTGCAGTTTGGCACATCGCCATTCCAGTTGGAGCGGCAGCAGAAGAAGGCCCCAGTGCAGGCAGCACCGCCGGCGCCTCGCGTCGTACCTGCCCAGCCTGATGCAGGTGGGGCTCAAAAGCAACCCGTAGCTGCAGCTCTGGCGTCGCCGTCTCCGAAGAGGCCCTTGGATACTGCTGCTGCTAATCCTTTGCCTCCTGGAAATCCCCAGTCTTCAGGCCCTTCCCCACCTAGTGGCTCCACACCTGGTAATACGCTTCCAGCAGAGAGTAGTCCCCCTAGGAGCGTCGAGGCAAGGACAAAGGCAAAGATAAAGGAACAACCATCGGCACACGCTCTACCTAGCGGGGGAAATGCGACACGTGCAAAAACCGTTTTTGAGAGGGCTGGACCGAGGCGCACGCACTCTGTAGGCGATATGCTGGCTTTGAGGAATAGCTCCAGCGCGGAGCGCCCCAGGCATGGTTCCATCGGCACACGCGCTGCTTCACCTAGTGGGCGTTTGACGGTTTCCTCCACAGGGCCCTCGTCACACGTTCTCACCCGTGCTGGGCCGAGCAAGGCCTCCGGGCCTGCCTGGGCGAAGGCCAGAACGGACACCGGATCGCGAGAAAATAGGCCCTCTTGGCTCTCCGCGGCGGACCGCCTGCGGCGCGACGATGCCCTGGGTATCTCTGAGAGGCGCTGGGATCCGTTTTTTATGCCCGACCAGGTCCGGACGCCGTGGCAAACGAAGTCGCAACCAGGGCGGCTGCGCGCTGCCGACATCAAGGCCCTGGGCCAGGTAAACTTGCTGGGGCAAGGGACGTACTATGAGCGCCCGAATTCCCTCTCGCTCTCAAGCCACTCGAACGGAACCCGGGCGACGGAGTTTGGGGCCGAATCGCCCATGACGCTCTTCCCGGAGCACCCCCTGGTCAAATTTCCCGCGTTGTCGGAGCAGTCTTCCGGGCGGCACGTGCACGTGCGGGCACGGAAAAACGTCGTCCGGGACCCCCTGCGAGGCCAAAGACAGGCCTACCCAGCTGCCTACGCCGGCGGGTCGTTAGAAGCGAACAGCAGCGCGGGGGACTCGGCTACGCTGTGGCCGAAAAGCACGAAGTTGCAAAGGCCAGGGAACCACGCGGAGGACATGTTCATGTCACTCTTTACGGGCTCGAGGAGCGACAAACCGCGACCCAAGCTGACCGCCTCTGAGTTTGCCTCGCCGCACCGTGCTTCGGATTCGTCCGGATCGAAGAAAGGGCTACTGCAACCTAATCGTGCCGGTGGTGGAGCCGGTGGTGGTGGTGGTGGAGCCGGTGGTGGTGGCGGTGGCGGTGGAGCCGGCGGTGGTGGCGGAGGTGGTGGTGGTGGTGGCGGTGGTGGTGGTGGCAAGAAGGAAAAAATTCTTCAGGCTGACGAGGAGGAGCACGAAGAGCGGCGCTTTAAGGAGGCGAGCAACACCGCCCTGCACGCCATCCCGTGGGATCAGCGGGCGTTCATTCCCCTCAGTGGGTTTGGCACCAAAACCTTCAGCACCTTTTCCGCGCCGCTTTTCTGGGAAAAGTTGGACTGGACCGTCCGGGCATCCCTCTTCACGGTGCTGCCGACGATGATTCTCACGCTGGAGCCGAAGACGGAGGACATCTTCCCGCTGCCCTCTTCCGTGGCCTTCCTTGCCTTCTGGATCACCATGCCAACCTTCGGTTCTGGGCTGCGGGAGTTTATCATTGCGTTGAAGGGGTACGCCCTGAGCCTGGTGATACTTCTGTTTATTATCCTAATTGGCCCCCGGGCGAGCTGGCTCATTCTGCTGCTGCTCTTCGTGCTCGTGCTCGTCACCTCCTTCTTCGCGGAGCAGGTGAAGAAGACCTCGGCCTACTGTCTCGCGGTGTTTCTGATGCAGCTGCAGTCGGACCCGGGGGGCACGGGGATTAAGTTTGTGGGGGACTACTTCACCACGCTGCTCATCGCCCTCGCCTTCGGCCTCGCCGCCTTCTTCATTCCGAACATTCGCTGGTCGAGTGACCTCTCCAAGCTGTACGTCTCCATCCTCGGCAACTCCCTCAGCATCTACGTGCAAGGGACGTGCTCCAGCTTCTGGACCCGCTCCCCACTGGAGCGCGAGCTGCACATTGTGCGCCTGCGGCAGCTGCGGGCCACGGCAAAGAGGGCCATCACGAAGGCCGCTGGCTTCTTCGAAGAGGCAGGCTACGAGCCCCACACGGGCGCCTTCATGGCCGCCATCAGCGTGCGACACGCGTTCTTTGTGAACATCTACAACATCCTTAGTTCCATGGTGCAGGTGGTGGAGCTGATCAACGACAACCCGCAGCGCATTGACACCCCGCTCTGTCTCTCCTTCGGCAACGCCATCGCCGAGGACCTCGCCGTCATCTCCTCCGCGATGGACAACATGATCCTGAAGATCGCCGACTTTGAGCACCCGGTGCGGGAGGAGGATATCCAAATGTTTCGCGAGGCGCGGGAACGCTTTCAGGACCGCCTCTCCGAGGTGCGACAGGACGTCATCCTCGACAACGAGATGTACGAGACGGACGAGTCCGACGTGCTGCTGGGGTTCTTTATGTTTAGCGTGGATGAGCTCTGTGAGGTGATCTCCAACTTTTCCCCGCGGGTGTCGGCGCACAGCAACTTTCTCGATTGGCTCAAGACCCCCATCGATGACTGCAAAAGCTCCTTTAACGCCCTGCGGCTGCTCATAACCATGATGATTCACCAACGCTCGCTGACGCGGCGGGCGAAGGAGGCGATTAAGCTGGCGCTCTGCATGACGGTGCCGTGCATCTTTCAGGTGTACGCGCTGAACAACAGCGAGACGAGCCCGGTGGCGGGGGCGGCGATTATCGCCTTTGTGTACAGTCAAACAGGGGCGCAGAGCTTCACCTATGCCGTTAATCGGGTGTTGGGGACGGTGCTAGGCTCGCTTACCGCGCTGCTGGGTGTTCAAATTGCCGACTCCCGCCGTTTGGTGCTGTACATTGCCGTGGCCATCCTCTCCTTTGTTGGGGCGTACATTCAGACGAGCCCGGAGTACTTTGCGGCGGGCAACGCCATCTGCAACAGCGTCATCTCCGTCATTACACAGTACAGAAATCCGGATGCCGCTATGGTGCGTATTCAGCAGAACGTGTTTGCCATTCTCATCTATTTTTGTATTTCTATGGTCCTCTGGCCCATGCGGGCGCGGGGGAAGGTGCAAATGGCCTTCGATGTCAGTCTGCGCTGCTTCCGTGAGGTGACGTGCCGCCTGCTGCGCAACCTCGACCAGCCCGAGGACGTGTGTGAGGTGAACACCGCCGTGATCGACGTGCTAAACGAGTGGAACAAGAAGATCACGCGGCAGTCCACCTTCTTACGCGGAGCCTGCACGGAGCCGACGCTGGTCGGCGCCGACTTTCCTGACTACGCGTGGCAGAAGCTGATTGACGCCCAGTGGGATCTCTGGTCCATTCTCTCTATGATGCGCTTCGCGTACTTCACCTTCATGTCCAGCAAGGCCGACAACGTCACCGAGCTCTCCGTGCACTGGGTCGTGCTGCGCCGCATCTCCCCCCACGCCAAGGACCTCTCCGACCTGGTCTACGCCACCGTCGACCTCTACCTCCTCGCGATAGGCAAGACCACCGTCGTGCCGACCAGCCACCTCACGCGCCTGCGGCACGGCATCCTGGAGGCGGAGGCGAACATCACGGAGGTGTACATTCAGACCATCTGCCGCAACCTCGGCGGCGACGTCGAGGAGGAGGAGGAGGAGGAGGAAGAGGGAGAGGAGCAGGAGGCCGGGAGCCACATGAGCAGGATGGCCATCAGCAGCGACAGCGACCACGACGCGGGTGGTCTCGGGGCAACGCGCCGGGGCGGAAGCAAAAGGCCCGCGGGAAGCACGGGCCCCGCGCCCCCCGGCGAGTCCCCGCCGCCCGAGCAGAAGAAGAAGAGGAGCGGCTACCTCATGTACAACCTTACCAAGGAGGAGGAGGAGGAGCTGAAGCGGTACCTCGTGAACCGGTCAGAGGCCATTCGGCAACGAAGCGTTGTCGAGGAGGGCGCGGAGGACGCCCTCAAGGAGAAGAAGGGCAACATCAAAGACAGCTTCATCGGCAACCGCTCCTTCCTCGGTCTGTTTGGCAAGGCGGGTCGCGGCGGGGATCTGGCGTCCTTCGCCTCCTCCGCCGGGGGCGCGGATCGCGGCAAGAAGAAGGGCAAGAAGCGGTACGGCGACCTGGACGCCTTCGCGCGGGAGGTGGACCTGAACGCCACCGTCGTGAAACGGCGGGACTCGACGAGCCGGCCCGCCGGGAAGGAGCGGGGCAACAAGGAGGCCGGGGCCAGCGAGAGGCACAGCCAGGAGGGAACAGAGGACAGGCGGCCGGGGCAGCGGAGCTCCGCCGAGTCGGAGGATGGGGGTGACAAGCGGTGGCCCTCCACCGACCACTCGGGCCTCCCCACCGCGCCGCAGGGGAAATCGGCAAAGATGACGGGCGACGACACGCTCACGGAGGGGGCGCCGAGCAGGCTGTCGGGCGACCGCTCCTCAACAGAGCCGTCGGAGCGCGGCTCGCAAATGCTCCAAAATCTCACCTTTTTTAACCACAAGCGAAGGGAGTTTGTGCTGTCCAATCAAGATATTCACAGTCTGGAGGCATTCCTTTTTGGTGTGCGTGCCATGACGGTGCAGCTCGGCGAGCTGCAGAAGGCGCTGCTGGAGATGCAGCACGCGGGGGAGCTTGCAAAGAAGGTATGAGCGCCGCAGGTCTGTCTCCTCCCTCCTGCACGCTTCTTCCAATGGGGGGTGGGGTGGGGGTGCCGAGGCACTTCGTCGCAGACACACAGACCTGCGCCCAAGCTTCCTCTCCCTCTTTCTCTTTCCGCCTGTATCTCCGTCTTCTCTGGCCCCACTGATGGCGGAGCTGTCTGAGTCTGTGCCTGTGTGGGTGGGTGTGTCTATGTTTCTACGATGCTGTGCTGACACGCGTCCGTGACTGCGGGGTCTCCGCGGTTGCTTGAAAACGGGGTGCCCTGCTACCTGGCGGCACCCCACGCGCTTTGCAGTGGGTGGTGCAGAATGCTGTAAGTCAGACGGCACCAAATCCAAGTAGGGATACGTGCAGGCTTCCACACTCGCACACCTTATCTTTTGCTTTCGTTTTACTTTTTTTTTGTTTTCTTTTTCTTGTCCTTTTTAGTTGATTTGATTTTGTATTCCTGTCTCGTTTGTTTTCCAAAGTGGCAACGCATGTGTGTGAGTGGTGTGTGCGTGCTTGCGTGAATATATCTCTCTGTGTGTACGCATGGGACGTGCACGTCTGCGGGTGGGAGGTGGGCGCGCCCCGGCTTTCGTTGCGGCGGGGGCGACCCCAGAGAGCCTGTGAGCGAGTGGAGGCGAAGCGACAGCGGGGTGGGGCCGCCGTGTGGGCGGAAATCCCCCGGGCCCCTCCTCCGACCGCACGGAGAGGGAGAAGAGGGCGGAGAAGTCGGCGACTGACAAAGGACGAAAAGTGAATAAATAAAAAAGAAAAAACTTAGTGAACGGAACTTCCTATTTTGTGTGCGGCGTGCGTAGTTTTTCTCTTCGCAGGAGCGTGTTTTTCTTTCTTCTTCCTTTTTGCTGCGTGGCTTACGGCTGTTGCGGTCATCGCTTCGCGCCACACACACACGCCACACACGCACACGCCCTCTCGCTATACACGTACCACGCACGCATATATCTATGCATGCGTGTATGTATCTGTCTATATCTATATATCTATACATCTGTACACGTGTATGCGCAGCCACGTGTATTTGTATTTGTTTATATATATCTCCTTCTCTCTCTCTCTGTGTGTGTGTGTCTCTCTCTCTCTCTCTCGCTCTCTGTGCTACTCCGCAGGCGCCTGCGTGCCGAGTTTGTGGCTTCCCCCGACGCGCTTGAGAGCAAACGAAACGATGAAAAAAAGAATAAAACAAAACGGAAACACAAGACGAGCCACGGCGTTTTGGACACTAAAAAAAGCAAGCGAAAAGGGGAGGGAGGAAATAATGGAAAATCAAATGAATAAAAAAAAAGTAAATAAATGAAGTAAAACAATGAGATGAAAGAAGGAAAGAAAACACGAAGAAAAGCGGCGCAGTATTTTGCTCCCATGGCTGCGCCGCTAGATACCTACCTGCCCACCTCCCTACTTACCCGCCCGTACAGTTACACCTCTCTCTTTGTATCTATTCAGTTTTACGTGTATCTCTGTGTGCGTGTGCGTGCGTGTATGCCCGCGCATGCATACATGCCCGTTCGACCGTACGTCCGATTGCTTTAAAACATTTTTGTTTTTGCCGTGTTTTTTTTTTTTTTTTTGTAGAAGCGCGGCGGCGGCGGCGGCGGCGGCGTAAAGGTCGCATCTCCCTCTAGATCTGTGCGAGGAAAGAAAAGAACTGAAAGGGAAACGAACAAGAAAGAAGGCAAAGGGAGGCAACGGGGGGTTGATTCCCCGGCGCCCAACCGCCTTGCCGCTCCCTCTCAGTCTTACTTTTCGCCTCCCGCGGCCTTTGCACGAAGGCGTTGGCGGCGCCTTCGTGCCCGCGCGCGTGTGCAGGAGCAGCCTCCTCATGACCCCACTTCTCGCCCTTCCCCCCCAGCCCTCCGCACTGCGGTGCGGAACGCAGCAGCAGTGAAGAGGCGTGTGCCGCCTGGTATTCTTTGGCCTCTTTGCTCCCTCTTTGCGTATTCCGCCCACGGGCGCCCCCAGGGCTCGAGTGAAGGTCTTACTAAGAGGAGGGGAAGCCGCCAGCGTGCGCGTGCCCACACACACACACACACACACACACACACACACACACACACACACACAC